ATATATATGTGTATATATAATTTCAGGAGGCATGACACTCAGATCGCAAATAACGTCCGTTTTCTAATGCATGCCTTCATTGTCAAGGTCAAGGTTGGATCGACCATATTTCTACTATTTGTTCCAGTTTAGAGCATAGTCATCAATTCTGTTTTGCTTCTACAACAAAGCGAACTCCATTAGGATCAATCACTTTTTTCTCTGTCTGTGATCAGTTTCATGTTTCAGTGCCTAGTTGTACTTGCAGACCCGAATTTCTGAATTCTAATCGGAGACTGGTGGTTTGTTTCATTTGATTTCATCGCCGAAAACGATACCCTCAGTTTTGTTGCCCCTCCAAGCGACTGACTAAGTGTGGTCTTATTTCACTAGTAAACCACGCATGAGAGCCTGAGCAACAAAAAGNGTCGATCGCTACCAGGCACGCGATATATCATGAATTGAATTTTCTCCCAGTTCGGTTCAGAAAATATTTAGCATTTACGAGTGTTTGTGCTGGTTCCTCGATTACCGATACGGGCTACGCCTATACCTAAAGGTGCGAATCGCGCCATCACTGCCCAAATTTGGTACTAGACTAGTTCGTTTTTGGCNTTTCGAGCCTATATGGTTCGCATGTCCCTATGAATGGTCATTAGAACTTCATAACAGTTGGGTTCACTCCTTATGCTGTTGATCGCAGCAATTTCACACCCAATTTTTAAGTTTCAGTGAAGGATTAGATGCACGTAAAACTATAACGTAATCCACAAATATAGTTCTAAATGAAGTCGAACACCCAACGGAAAGTTTGACAGCTGGATCATTCTAAAATTGGGGAATAGTATGTGATAAACCGAAGGTTTTGCAGGTTCAGTGGCCGCGACGTCAAAATGTTGCGTCCCTGTTTAAGTAAGTAAATAAGCTCGCGGTCAATTATTCAGCACGTTCATTGTTGAGGGTGCATGTGTAGCCGAACCATAGACCGGTGAGCAAGCAAAAGCGGGCAACACTTAGGAAGGCAGACATGTCAACAAACGGCTCACGCGTTACACAACATCCGAAAGCGGTCAAACAGTTTGAAACATTTCAATGCAAATATCCGATCGGCCGGAGCTGATCGATATTGTAGCAGAATCAGTCCGCATGTCGTGCGTGCGTGCTGGCTGGCAGCATCTCACAATCAGTCAATCAATCCGGCCAGAAGCGAACGCGACAAACGTACCAGTCAATCGTAGGCCACATCACCTTCCACAAATAAGTAGGGAATCGGTATTTCACAGGAAAAACTACAAACCATGAACTAACGATAACTTGCATAGTCAGAACGTCTTTCGTGTCTGAGTGGCGGAATTTTGCATTTTTAAGAGAGATTGAATTTTTTTCCTGATCCTAGAGCAGCCCCGGAATGTTTTCTGTTTGCATAGTCACTTTTGTGTAGGGTGGGAAGTGCGCTTTACATATCTCTCAAGAGGTGGTTGATTCATTGGGGGCATCTAACATCAACATTCAGAATGGCACCGTCAACAGATGTTTTTGTAACTCAAGTGTGAATTAGGTTTTGTTCAAACTAAGGTCTCCGGTGGAACCCCTAGAGAAAATTCTCTTTCGCGGTCTGAGATTCCTAGAGGGATACTACCCAAAAATCTTTGAGCAATCCATTGGACCTCGCATCGTTCTGTGCTACACGCAGCTGATTCAAATTTCTCTGGTGTTGGCCACCGGAACTCACTCATTTCTCTCCCATTCCATTTGTTGTCAGCTCTCTGCATAAATTTGTTTCTCAGGTCTGTTCGATGTGTTTAGCTTTTTAAACCATAACACACGGAGAAGGATACAAATTAGGACGTAGGGGATTTTAACCGCAAATTAAAACCACCGCACAATAGGATCGGTTGGTTGGGGCAGGTTCTGTGTATGACTAACGGTCGCCTACTACACCGCGCCTTATTTGCAGAAGCTGCTACATACTGGAGAAAGCCACATGGAGATCAGCAAATGACGTGGAGACAAGGCATGAAGAAATGCACAGAGCGATTAGGTAGAGTAGGTGTCTTCCGGATCGGGTTNGTGACTGGATGGTTGGAGACACTGAAAGTCATGGCAACTAGCTGACAGCAATGGAAATCTTGCTCTCACTTGTTAACAGATCAAAATGCTTGAAAACTTGTGTTTGCACAGTTGGACTGTATACTCTGTGGAGGTTCGTTTTATTTTTCCGTCCTTAAGAATAGGCCCAATCCTGATCTCGTTCTCACTCATCTCGCATGCATTATGAGTTTAGCACTGACCAATGAACTTCACTCGCTGTATTACACTGCACGACGATGATGATGATGACGACCGCTGTAACGCTAACGATAAAGAAAAAAAATATGGGCACTTCCGCTCAAAATATTTATTCAAGCACTCTGGTTTATCTGCCCAATGAATTGTACTGCTAAGTTCAATATGGTGCTCCGGATGGTCATTCATATCAGGACAGACTGCAGGTTAGATTGATAGCAGAAAAAAAATAATCGGCAACTAGCAAATTACTGTGCCATAGCAACAGTAGTACAGGTTATCGTAAAATTTCAATTTCAAAATTTCATGTCTGATCTCGAATTCACAGGCACCATTCTCAACCATATTTTACTCAGTAAAAAACGAAGGGATAAGTCTTACTGATGTATATTTCTCATTTTTGATGCGTTTACCTTAATGAATATAAAATCGGTAGTCTGAGTTTGCGCTGCCAATTGAACTGGGACAATGAGTCGATCGAATTTTTTTGGTTATCAGAAATGCGCAAATATGGAGCTCAACTGTCGTCCATCACTAGCGTGCAAGATGTTCGTAACTGTCGACCACTTGTTTCATTTGCTCGAAGGCCGAAGCGAATGTGTTCTGCAAAAGGAATGACGAAGGGAAGCACCGTTTCTGAGTGATCGAATTGGTACCAAAGACCTTTCGAACCGATTGGTGTATACCTTGAAATAAACATTTTCCAGAAAGGTGCTACTGGCTACTCGAAGTCGCGGCACAGTAACACTCTATGGTTTCAGCATTATGGACATTACGACTTGTGGTCGAGCGGTTAACATGCTTGCGTTCTACCTGTGAGGTACCGGGTTCGATCCCCAGTTGGATTGCTGGATTCGCACTGCACGAATAAGACTCAATCAGGTCGAAACAGCTGTACAGTGCCTCCTAGTTTTTCAGTTCACGCTTCATTTAATTTATGCATGATGAATTCCTTCTGTGAAATTCTGATCAAGCCACATCCCGTCGGCGTTCTGGCCACAAACGTACAATCTTTCAATCAGTCCATCAATCTTTCTGTCTGTACAATGATGGCATCGATTTGAAATGAACTTCGAATGCATTTTTTTGAAGTTTTCAATGAAAACCCTCAAATGCTATGATTGTGTAGACGGGTACAGATGTTACCTTTCAGGTTTCATCTAGCCTATTCATCAAAACAGACAGACATATCAATCGAGGTACTTCAGCTGGATAAAGCACGAGATGATGTTTAGCGTGTATTGACCACATTTGCTAGAACCTTGATGAGGGGTCTATGGGCACCTGAAGTGTAATAATATCCAGAAAATATCTAGCCCGGGTTGATCGGACGAAGTGAGCCAAAACAAGATGCATCGATTATCTCTTGGCTGTTACAAACCAAACTTTGATTTGTGTGTGAGCCATGCTGGTTCCACGGCGTTTTCTGTCCTGTCTGGACTATCATTGCAGAATAGCAAAACGTTTTTTATTCACATATAGAACGGAACTGTTCGGTTCAGTTCCTATACAAAATCAGCAAATAAAGCAACACTAGCTTTCAGATCACAGAGAAAACCTACTATTCTTTCTCTACAATAATGTAGCTTCAGATTTGATTCAAACAACTAGACTTGAGATCATTTGGATTTGGAACAACTGGACGATGTTCACGAATGGATCAAAATGTCGTGAAAGATATTGTGTGATGACTCACAAAAAGTCGTGAACAGCTGTTTCGTTATGGGACGGTGTTTGTCATATGCATACTATGTTCCGAGTTCGTCTCGGGATCAGCATTGCTAATGATTCCAATCAGGGACGAAACAGCATAAAAAAATCATACGATGCGGTGATTAAATAAACTCTCGAGGGGTTGTCAAATGCAAATGTCTTTTTACTTCCTTTTTTATTTATTGACTATACAATTGTATAGTCCACATTCAGGAAGGAGGCAGCGGCCATACAAAGGCTGTCTGGGAAGACGGGCGGCGGTGGAGCGGTTCGAAACCCGGACTTCCAAATCGCAAGTTAGTGACCTAACCATTTGGCCACCGCCACCGATCACAGAAGAACAACAAAACACATCCGATGTGTCGATGGATGCGCATGCATTCAAACCTGTACGCATTCACTTCCAAATGCTATTCACCCGATTGAATCTGCTTTATATTGAAACAGACCGGACCGTATCTTTTTTTTTTATCTCATGTGAACCACCGTAACACCTAGCTGCATCTTTCCAACAATTCGCAAATAACTGTGCGTTGTTTTAGTACGCTTTCTGTTAATGGCTGCCATGTAACTCGTAACTGTATCTCTGTAGACCACCTTGAAGTTCACGTGTTTACAACTGATGGCTTAGAGAAAAATCTTCACCGCAGAGCCCCAGACAATGTGCTAATCTGAAATGAGCCCCTTCTGATGCATCTGCCCACATATGTTCTGTTACCCTGTATCATCCTACTCACAACACATTGTAAAGAGAACTCGGTTTTGAATATTTCAGAACAGCTATTCTTTGAATAACCTTCAGAGCTCCAAACGAGGTATTTGTAGTGAAAATCACTTTAGGAGTGCAACTGTGAGAATGTCTTCAACAGAAGATGTGTGTGTTGGACGAGGAGAAACACGAAACCAGTCGTGTACATCGTGGAGAGTTCTGTCCAGTCAATTATTAACTGCCAGGTTCGTTGTTCAGCCAATGACTCTTCATAACTTAGGCCTCACATTTTCCCTTCCCGTTCAACGTCTGATCTCGTACCAGGGGGACCCATTTCAGATAGCGTTTTCTTACTGTCTGGTTTGGCTACTTCAACAGCAGCGATAATATAAAATCAGTTCAACTGAATGTGGTAACGCAAGTTAGGACTTGGCACGGGATTTTATCCCTTGAAGTCAGTTTGCATAGCATTTACTGGGATGGTACTGGAACTCAGATCGAGGTCCCCGAGCCAGAAATGTTTGCATACTACAATGAATACCATGCGACCGATTGGATAAAACCATATGGTTGAGCACGACAAGGGTTTGAATGGGTGAACAAGGCCTTGTCGTTGTCTATCGATTCTCACTGGATAGCGTCAAACGACAAAAACCTTACAAACTGAATACTGAGACAGTGAGAATTGTGCAAACACAAAGTTTTTATAAATGTATCATGAATACCATGATTGGGACTTAACGTGTAGACATAAAATGTCAAATCGCGTTAACATATGAGCAAAAGAACCCAGAAAGGTAGCGATAAAATGAACAATTAAGTGCAATAAAAACAATGCTGTGATTGAATTACATAATTCGGCCGTTTTCGGGAATAGTTTTCATTTGAGAACCTTGTTGGGGTTCGAACCCTCACGCATAGGTTGTGGAAGGATAGCATTTTTCATGAGTTTAAATCCTACCACGGTTTCTGATCGTTCAAATTCGGTTGTGTATTTTGAATTCAGACGGACAGTAGGGGTTGGCACATGATTTTCGTTGCTAAAGTATGTCAATCGGTCAGGAAATCGACTGTAGGAAAGTGAATTGATTGTACACAATAGCTTTGTCAACGCAGTTTCTGCCGAAGATAGAATGGGGGTCAGTTTCCTCTTTCGCTACCATGAACATTGCACTGTCATGTGACTGTTTTAGTTATCATCGTTCGGCTAACCATCTGTAGAACTAATAAGGAAGAAGTAAAGAGTTTAGCGAGAATCGCACTATTAGAATAAAGATATCGAAAGCATCTAAAACAGGTACGTCTGGCAAGGGAGCGGATGCGCAGGCACTGATGTCAACAACACTCGGCCGCATCACTCACTGTCCTCAACCTTCGATTAGGTTAGTTATGAGGTCCCCAAATGAGGAAGCCTATTGTGAATAGTGGTCAGATTTTTCATACCCCTATGGGATTTCATTTTCTGACCATCCCCTATCATCTTCCGTATCTGTCTCTGACAATATCGTACGTCATGGCATGCGTAACACACACCTCAACCAGTGCAATTTACGGCAGTCGAACGAGCACTTGCTTCAATGAGTGACCGTGTTTACCCAAAACTGTGCATAACTTTGTTATTGGTTTATCGGTTTCCCCACCAGACTGGAGTAATGTTTGGCAGTCAGTGGTGGTCGAACACTGACAGTTTACCTTCATCTTGTTCTCGTATCAGCAAAGTTTGTGCACCGTAGCACAGAAGTCTGAACTATTGCAGTTTTCACTCGAGCGTTCACAGACCGCTAGACCGTGCCAGATATATATATATATATATCACATGTTTGACGCCAGACTGTGTGCCAAACAAATCATGGTACAATAATTTTTATAAAAGGAAAAATGCATGTGGACTGAATGCTGTCAGGTTGCCTAGGCCAAGGCAGGTAAATTTTCTTGAGGAATCCACAACCGGAGCATTTGGCTAGCCAAAGCCTGACCCGCAAGGCAGCGGGGAGGTGTGAAAACCGCAATCCTTTGCGGGTCAGTGTCCAGTTCATCGGATCATACGCCTTTTGGATGGGGTCAAACGTTCATACATCTTGATGACCTTGATTGAGCCGGTGACCACTGCTACAATCGGGAAGGTGTGTGTGGTTCGTACGCCAGAGATGTCTGTATGCGTGCCAAAACTGCATCCGACATTCGTCCACCAAGTGCGATCAAATAACAAAGTGTGCTGACCTTCTCTACAGGTTCATCAGATGGAGTGAACTTGTTAGTTGGATAAACTCAGTCTCTGTGAGAGTATTTCACACTTCGGATATGCAAAAAAGTATACTGAACATGATTACGCTAGCACTTAATCTATCCAGAGTGGCTTCGGATTCTCTTGGATGTTTATTCGGCGGTAAAATATCCGAGTGACACTGGGGACGTCCCTCGTACCAAACTCCCAAGGAACTCCATGATCTTGATCATGATCATATCTGGAGTCGGCTTATCCTTTCCAAGGAGCCAGCAGCAATGAAGTGAAGTGAAAAAGTACAGTATCATCTGATTCAGTCATATCAAACAACTTTCCATCTAGTACAACAGAAACACTGCTAACTTCTCGCGAAGAAAGTGCCATTTCTGCATCCATGTCTACTAGAAAGTCAAAAAACCGAGTGGAGAGAGGGGATAACCCCGTCCCGTGATGAACTCGAGTGGAAAAGAGACTTAAGTTTGTCTGCGGCTTCGGCGATTCGTAAACAGTGACCGTACTAGGACAAAGAGTTTATGTGTTTCAGAAGTTGTGAAGATGAAGATATTCTTGATGATCCCTAAGTGCTGGTTTCAACACGAACCCTGTTCATATGGGGAAGCCAGATACCTCAAGGAGATGCTAATCAACATTTCTTTCTTTTGTGGTTCGCACCAGAGGTTCTGTCCTTTACGTTGAATTCGGTGGGAGAATCAAATCACGCCATTCTGTAGGAGCCTTTTTGTTTTGCCATACGAGACCGAAGAGTTTTGTCAAGTCCGGGATCGAGGCTGAGCCAACATACTTCAAGATACGAGGAGGAAGCCCTTCCAGGCCAGAAGCACCATACCTCTTAAGGTTACTTCTCTCCCGAGTACCCTCTATTTTTAGAGGACGGACAATTGTTCACTTGATTCAAAAGTTAACAGATCCAAAAAGGACAAATGTTAGTGGAATTCTACCTTGAAATGTTTGCTGGTCGTTCCAGGTGGCGTTGTGTAAAGGGAATCAGTGCCTCATTGGATTCCTTAATTGTCTCACTCATCCCTGATTTCCGCGAGCCCGTATTCTTTATTAAACGAAAGTAAAGATTGTAACTCTGAAAAATGGTCACAGAATTTTGCATCTCCGCACATTCCGATGCTCAAAACCTTTAGCCGTCATTCCTTGGGTTCCTGATGACCTGATGTTTAAGGGTTTAAAGTGCACTGTCCTGTTTTGTCTCTAGAACGGTGGTTTTGCGAACGTCCGACAGAGCAGCATAGTTCGAAAAATCTATCGTGTCCGCTTTAATCGTTTGTCGGAATCGATCGTTGTCTGAACAGATCGTTGAGTCCCTCGGTGATTAGTTCAAACTAGAGACGATCCGAGAGCTCCGCTTTTAATATTGATGTCGTGATGTACTACTCACATTTGTGAGTAGTATGCAAAATAGTTCGGTTGGCGGTATCCCTCGAAGATCAAAAATTAACAAGACCAATGAGGGCGAAGTGCTGTACCTCAAAGAATAACTACAGACTGCTCCACTCATTACCCGGAGTGCTGCTGGGAATTACAACGACATGTTTCAAATGAGATATCTGTTATATGTATACCAAATTATTGATATCCCAACTGTAATCTGCAATAAACAACTTTCCTTGATCGGGCACGGGTTTGTGAAATTATAACATTAGTAGTTTAGGGCTAAGCGTGTACTGTTTGCAACCGCTTTCAGCAGCCATTAGGCATAGTGAGAATCCGGCTTGGACCAGAACAATGATTAGTGTCCACAAGCTTTTACAGTAAGTCTTTAAATGTAATTCAAGAGCAACATAACTTCTACTCAAAAAATCAGTTCTAAAGTGGTAAATCAACCGGATAAAATGAACTCAAGAAAAAAAGGCTGTGGTATTCGGAAAAGGAACAATGCCTACCACTTTCTTCACTCACCATATTTTCAGATTATTGACGATCGATAGTCCTTATCCAACTCACCTCAGTGCATCCGTACTTTTTGTACCAGTGCAGATAGGCGCCAGCTCGCCATCGCATATAGGCTCGCGAAATCAGACAATTCAAATCCTCCGTTATGCAACACGAGTTGAAAGCCAGTGTTACACTATTCCGTGTAGTTTTTCCGTTCACATCTGTACAGAAACCAACAATAACACAATAGAGATAAATCACGGAAAACGAACTGATTTATTATGGATACTTGTGATCACTTACTGCTCACAAGTTGTCTATGAGCGTAACACGGTAGCGCGTATAGTGACATTTAAACAAATTTGATTACGAATCAAAAAGCTTCAGCACATGTCATTGAACTAGCCAAATAGGAAACTAATGAGAAGTCCCACGTACGGGTCGGTGGGTAGAAGGGTGCAATCATCTTAAACCGCCTCTTCACATGGCTTTACCCGGTACAATGTAACTTGGATAACCATTTACACTCGGGAGTGGAAGTTTGCGAAATTTTGTTATATTTTATCTCCAAGCAACTAGGGAGGGCGCATGGACTTGCACTTCTGTGGCGATCGTGCAACGAGTACGCACGAACCACTAAACAGTTTCCAGTTGGCTAATCACAAAGCAGAGGTCCCGACCAATCCCGTGGTCTCTAGTGCAATCAATCAAATTAGTTGAATGTAAGAAAGCAGTCCCACGGGCCATATCGTTGTCGACTAGACATCGAAGAACGAGTCAATGATTGTTTGACGCTTGTGATACTTATTTGCGTGATTTTCTGAATAGAACTATAACTGTATCCACAGCTCGTCTTGGTTCTACCGAACTGCGCTATTCAGTGGGCTTTAAGTTACAAGTTCGGGCTATATGATTCGGAGTACTATTCCGAATATTAGCTATAAAACGTATGAAATTACATATTTGCCACAAAGTGATTCGACTAAAGACGAGATAGTGAGAGCTACACATTGAAGTTGGAGAACACTCCCATCAATATAATCTCGTTCACATTGAATGAACTAATTAATGTGGACATTGTTGAATCCCGTATGAGTCAATGAGTAGGCAAAGAGTCAACTAAGTAGTTATCCTATTTCCAGTATGTAAATGCAAACGTAGCCGGCCGTAAGCCGATGAACAAGCAGTGCGTCAACATGCAGACGGCCAAGCACAAACTGGTGCAAGTGTTACCAAAAGGAGTATGTCATCACTGTCATCAATCAATGCGGACAGGTCAATACTGACTTCTGATTCGCTGAGGCGGATCGACCTTATAACAGAGTAAGTTCGCATGAGGTGCGTCCGTGCATGTGGTGGTGGGCCGCAACCGTCAGTCACGTGATGGGTACTCGACTGCAGGCCACAACAGACATGATCTGCAAATGTAACCATTCACATTTAAGCCATTTATATATTTGCGGCTCAAAGACAGAGGGTCTGAATTCGAACTCTCGCTCCGGGGAGTTCCTTGACTTCGAAAAGCCTTTGTATCATCGGAGGTGGGTGCCTCGAATTGTGATTGGTCACCCTTCCCTTCCACCTAGCGAACCGTGTCCTAGATAACCAAGCGTATCAAATAGCATCTATCTACTAAGGAGGTCTTACTCAATGCTTTCTCACCAACGTGAGAAGGCGAAAAGTCAACACTGGTCATTCACCTAGAGGAGTTGTCGAAAAACTCTGACTCAGAAGAGGTACACGAACTACTCACACAAACACACCTTCCTAGTTGTGGTAGTAGTCACCGGGTCGATTGGGTATTGAGATGTACGTACTAAGTAACTTGGACCCCGTCCAAACGGTGTATGATCCCACGAACTGGAAACCAGCCACCAAACGGAACGTGACGTGGTGATCCGGGCCTACGAGATGACGCCCACCCTGGAGCGGCGCGTTACAGATTTTGGACAAATGCGATCAATCAAGCCTCACGACGCGCGTACGTGTCACTGCTTCTGACTCCATATCATAAGTAGATCGTAGCAGCCAATCAGAGATCGTGCGGCCCAGACGGAAGCAGAACGCTGCTAGAAATACTGGAAGGCGATTGGTGGAAGCCCGGATAACTAATGAGCCTACTTTGTAGATATTGTTTAACTCCCTTTATTTCTTCCAATAAAAGAATTACCATTCCTGTGGCCTTCTCGTGTCTGAGTTACGTGGGATATTGCGTGCTAGTGCCAGTGCTGACGCGATCCAGTCCGTGATAACTGATCCTTGATTCGTGTTCCGTGATTCGCATTGCGTGGTTCCTGTTCCGAGTTCCGTGTGTATTACTACTATTACTGCGATCACTATACGTGGTTTTCACACACCACCCCACTGGCTTATGAGTGAGTCTTTGGCTAATAGAAGGATCTGGTTGTGAAATTCCCAAGAAAATTCACTGACTTTGGTCTCGGAAACCTGGCAGTATGCTGCTCAAGAGCAAATCTTGAATTGATTACTTTGTTACAAAGATTGTCATATTGTGATTTATTTGGTTAACAGTGAGGACCCAGGCACGAGATAATTAGCGATACAAGGATCTAGGAATGTTTCACACATTGTGCCATCAAGTGCCCTAAAGCAACGTGTATTACTAAAATGCGTTTTGGGATCATTCGAAGCAGACCTATTTGCTGTCAGCATACAGTTGACCACACACAGAGTATGCGGTACAAATTTGGAATCCATGACTAATTCGTGACGGAAATGCACTCAAACGTCCGCAGAGAACAACAACCAAAATAGTCAAAGGGTAACAATCCAAGACCTACTTTGAAAGATTTCAAATCTTCGGACTCTATTCAACTGAATACAGCTGAATGCGGGGAGAACTGATTCTCGTATATCAAATATTACATCAACCTAACCACCCGTACAGTACTGTACTAACACTATCCATCAACGGTCACCTTGGGGGACATCCGTTTAAACTTTTGCTCAAAAAGAGTTGGCTAGAATGCAGGCAACACTTTTTTTAGCCTCAGAATTTGGATGACTGGAACTCTATTTCATCCCAAGGTGTTTACGCTTCAACCATTGATTCATTCAAATCACGGCTTGATGAAGTATGGAAACACCCAACTGTTCAGCACCCGCGAGTGAACTTCATAATTTGCTATTAATTGTACTATCAACCGAACCCAGCGTTTACAGATCCTATGAGATTCAATAAGCATCATTTTTGTAATTTACTCATATAGCAACGATTGTTACTAGGTAGGTTGCCACGGCGAGCGATCTTTGCCGAGACAGATAGCGGATGGCAAAATGTCAAGGGCGGTCGAAAGACGAACTGGAACGAGTGTATGAAAGCCCTAACCAGGAGACTGGGTCACAGAGGTCCCGTTAGGCTCCCTGGATGGGGACCCCAAGATAATGGTCACCGATGGTTAGAGACACTCAGTGATATGGTTGGGTATCGCATACAGTGGCGCTCGTGTATCCACTCAATTGTCGCATAACACCACTCTGTACGAATTATCCATCCTCCGTTCCCACTGGCTTTCAATATTCCAATCTTCACGCCGCTCGTTTATCCAAATGGGCGGCCAAGAGACAGCAACTAAAACTGGCCATTGGTTGCACAAACCGAACTGAATTTACTCACGTTAAAAATTGGGTTTGAATCAGGCCTTAATCTCAACTTACTTACACTTTTTGAATGTATGTTCTCTCTTTCGAGCTCATACTACCTCCAATGAATCCCCATATATTACCAATTTTCAAATTTGTACAGCGGACAATATCAAGGACTTTGGTGTTACCATGGGACGTGAATGCAGGTGGTCTACCCATATCCGCAGACATTTGACCTTTCGTATCCGCAAGTTGATAAATTGTATTGCAAAACACTCTGCCAACTCCTCCCTTGTTTATCAACGTCTCTCAACCATTATCCTTCATTTTTTCCCTCTGATCTTCCCCGGTATACTTTAAAATGATTTCATTACTCTTCGTTAAGGCTTGGCCATCATCAGCCTCGTTTCACTTGTCTTTACAGACTCTCTTGTTAACACAAATTGTGTAACGTATGTATTTGATTTTTGTGAATGTTTTGCTGGTAAAACATTGGCGGGTCTCACACATTCTCTATTTTTGCCACTTATCTGCTGATTGCTCGCATCAGTCAATCAAGTTGAGTCCTCGACTCGTTTCCGAACGAATCAACATTTATAAAATCCGCATGTTGTATATTTAACCCCGTATCCTCTACTGACAAAGCCAAATTTTCAGCTGAGTTGGGTTTGAACTGTTTAAGCTGAATGAACCCTGGGTCGGTACTTCACTATCGTCATTGTCTTCTAATGTTTGAGCAGAATAGGATTCCATTACCTGTTCTCCTATGTCGGTCTGACGGGTACACGACAGATCGGTCAATTGGACCAGCTGTAACAAGGGAAAGTGACACGCTTGCCGTTCGCGCAAGTATTTAGAATGCTCAGTGAACTTTGACTGTACACAACACGGGTGTCATCAAGACACGGCTGGACAACAAGAGCAGAAAAGCTCTTGCGAACTGGTGATCAGTGCAAAGATCGCATGATCCGATTGTTATAAGTCCAGAAGGTGGAGCTGGTCAAGGATGATCGTTTATTGGGGATCACAGATGGGACATTAAAAATTTGGTATATATAACACAGAAAACCTCATCAGAAATATCCCATTGCAGCTCCTGGCCCCACGACGAGCAATGTATGTAGCAATCAATAATTATTCTCTGAGATGCAGCAGTTTTTTCTCGGTGGTTTTCTTAATTTTTGATCGTTGAAAGTATTCACCAACTACGTTATCTACTACTCACAAGTGAGTAGTATCTCACAACACGATGAATTGGACACCTATCCATAGGGGGTTACGGTTTTTACTGATCACGCCGCTGCCTTACGGGTTAGGCTTTGACCCACGGAGAACTCCCGTTGTGTATCCACAAGATGTATTCGAATCCCATTACCACCGTCTGATTTTCCTCGTTAAGTCAAGGTCAAAGTTTTTTTATAGGAAATACTTAAAAGTGGTTGCTTTTCTTGTCCCATAGGGTTCAGTATAAATGGATCTATTTACGGTTCGTGAAAAGACAAGGAATGTCACAAATTTACTTTGTTTCATGCACTGCTACGGGTTTCGAAATTTAGGACTTGACAATGTGTTGTCATCCAGTTTGTGTTTGAAGGAATCAACTGTGGGCGTAGAAACAACGTGAGGTGGTAAAGAATTCGAAATGCTGCAACTTCTGAGGGCAAATGAATGACATCGGTATTCTAGTCGACAATTTTGGAAAACTAATTTGAGTGAGTGCCCCGTTGAGGTGAGTGTTAGGCGACAAGGCGAACAGTGAGCGACATACAATAAAATCGGCGGTACTGCGTGGGGAGTGCCAACCAATGAGATTGTTTGTACAAATCAATGAATATCGACCCGGGAGGAACGACTTTTGATTTCTCAACCATAAGACTACTACGGTGAACAACTTAAGACGATGTTGGAATATTGTCTGAGGCGTTGTGAAAATCTCCGGGACAGACAGCAAAACCTATTCCTCATTTTTGAATAGAAGTTAAAAAACGAGGCTTACCAAACCACTGATCAATCGGTTCAGGATTCCACGGAACCGGACGTATGTAATCCCAAAGCGAACGAATAGCCTGATGTTTAACTATGCCTTGATTGGGTTTACATTTGGCTTGGTACTGTTTATCATCCCCGGTAGATAGTGCATTCGTATAATGCATTCGGTAGGCCAGCAAAGCGGCCAAACAATTCATCGGTCGACAGCCAGTTTGTCGACCCGGTTTGTACAAATTCCATGTGGCATCGATCGGACACTGATGTAAGGTGTTTTGTAGTAATCCCAGTTGAATTGTCCAATTGTTTGGTTCGGTGTACAGTTTATCGAATAACCTGAAGCGAATACCATGTAGTATGGTTTGATTGGGCGATGATTGGGTGTGTGTGGGGGGGGGCATGAATCAATTCAGTATTGTGGAAAAAATAGAGATAAATTATTAAATGCTCATTTTAAGAAAACAGTTTTCAGGCAAAGTCACTGCATATCCAAAACGGTCAGTAACACATCAGTCACAGATTCACACTTAACTCTAAATTACTTGTGGTTAGAGGTGCCAGATACTGATTTACCGGTTTTAATCGACCAACCTTTCCGATTTCGTTGATACACTCAATCTCTTGGTTCATCTAGTCAGTCCTTGAATATTCGTACGCCCAATGCGCGCACGGGATAATAGCTAACCCCACAATCCGGTTTCAGTTAAAACTCATCACCACGGTTGCATCCTGTATAACTTAGTTCACGTGAAGTACAAAAATCCGTGATATATTTGTGTACCCCGAACATCACGTTTCTGTTCGACCTCTTGGCGGACTGCAGTTCATTGATCAATGCGATCGGAATTGAACAAGTTGAGTTCTACTCATTTGGCCTTGATGTGGTTCACATCAAAGCAGACACACACATACTTTTTTTATAGTAGCAAGCTTGGATTAGCCCATTCGATTGTTAAGAGGCATCAGGCGCTCTTGGGAGTGGGTTTCACTGCTTGGGAGCTCGTTAATTCCCTACAGTTTTATACATTTACATGTGATAGAAATGTTTGTGATAATCGACAAAGAAATCCCAAACAGGACAAAACAGTTGTCCCGGTGCTCTTTGTCGGTTATCACAAACATTTCCATCACACGTAAACAAACACACACATAAAGAATTATTATCTGCTTTTTATTCCCCTCGAAATATACAAAATACAATTATTCGCTTCAAAACGTATGAAAGTTTGTATCACGCACGATGAAAAACAAATCCCAGTGACTTGAATTTGAGCGTCAGAAATGCCACAAAACAGGTATACTTGATCAAGCGGGCACAAACTCTCAAATCGTTTGCGATAACCGAAAACGCAAAACAAACCATTTAGCAAACCGTAGTCTCAGTTCCAATACAACAAGGAAAATCCAAAACTCCATTAAACCATGAGGAAAAGATGTATGAAAAGAACACTGAAGATGGACAAGCGCATCGTCATGTTGTCTACTGTTATAAACAAATTATACATATATATATATATATCCCAACATTCTTTTAACTCTTTATCTTCCGTTTCCAACCCTCTCCCTTTACCCCTTCTTCCAACCCGCAACATTCCCCCAGACAACTTGTTCATCACTTGCCAAAGTTCGTCGCCTAGTAGAGCGCTAAGTAGTTCACCACAAAATGGATTGCATATTCTGAAGCCTCGTCAGCCACTGAACGTGGGGGCCTTCAACGTGAGGACTTTGATGTAGATAGGTCAAAAAGCGTGTCTGGCGCGTACAATGGACTCTCTGGAGATTGATGTCTATTGCGTGGAGACACGAATCCAAGATCCTAGTACGATAAACCACTTAACTGTACCGGGGTTGTCTTCGAGGTTCTTCCTCCTTGTGTCAGATGGTGACAAAACCCGTTCAGTAGGCCAGCGTGGCGTGAGCATTGTACTCAACAATAAAGCCGAAGCAGCACTACTCAATTGGATTCTCGTCAACAGTCGCTTATGTGCGATTTCGCTCCAAGGGTCCATTAGCGCCCGGAAGGGAAGCAACACCAAAAGGTGCGTATGCTCCGACGAACTGCAGTTCTGACGCACAAAAGGACGAGTTTTATGATAAACTCACGGAACTCATTCGGTTGAGTCGAAGCTCCGATATAGCTGTTCTCGCAGGTTATTTTAACGATCAAGTTGGAAAACCCATTTTCTTAAACGTCTTTGCCGTGAAAAGGAACGCGCATTTAAATGTGACAGGAGGGCCGAAATGCAACGATTATCGTCCCTGATCAAGAGTGAAATAAGACGGTTGGACGCCCTTTATGCAAGTCAATTTTTTGGGACGAGGAACTGCAAATCTGTGTGGCGTGGAATCAATCTTCTCTGCGGGCAGAAGAAAGTGATTTCCAGTCCCTCTATCGATATTGAAATACTGAATAATGCATTTATTCCTTCTTCGTCCGACAAATACCCCAGTTTTGCTGATTCCTGTTCTCCAAACATTCAACCTTCGTTTGATCCCATCACCTCTGGTGAGATGTATAAACACATGTGTTCTCTCAAGGTGTCCACCGCACATGGTCCAGACGACTTAGGTCCCACCCTTTTTAAACACGGTGCTCTGCCACTCTCTCAGATTTTCGCACACATAGCTAATCTTTCACTTGAACTCCGAACTATTCCAGACTGCTGACGCTCAGTGAGAATTACTCCCATCGCAAAAGGAACGTCCAAGGTCCCAATAGCGAAGCGTTTTAGACCAATTGCTCTCAC